AAGCAAGGAAATCCTGGCACCGGCCGCCACCTGCGTGAACGCGGAGGGCGGGAGGCTGAGTGACACAAACCACACACGGAAGGACGGACACTGTAGGATCCCACTCCCACGAGGCCCCAGGGTCGTCAGACTCGCGGACACGGTTGGACGCGCACTGGGACCCACTCCCACGAGGTCCCGGGGTCGTCAGACTCATGGACACGGGAGGACACGCACTGGGACCCACTCCCACGAGGTCCCAGGGTCGTCAGACTGACGGGGACAGAAAGTACATGATGGTATCAGGAGCTGGGGGAGGGGGAGGGAGGTCAGTACTGAATGGGGTTTAATTTGGGAAGATGAGAAAGTTCTGGAGAGGGACAGTAGGGATGGCTGTGCAATAACGTCAGTGTTCTTAATGCCACAGAACTGCACGCTTGAAAATGGTTAACATTTTATGCCACGTATGTTGTACAATTAAAGAAACACACTCGGGGGTGGCTGGGTGGCTCAGTCAGTTAAGTGTGTGACTTCAGCTCGCGGTTCATGAGTTCGAGCCCCACATCAGGTTCTGCACTGACAGCTCGGAGCCTGGAGCCTGCTTCCCATTCTGTGTGTCCCTCTCTCTCTGCCCCTCCCCCACTCATGCTCTCTCTCTCTCTCTCTCTCTCTCTCTCTCTCTCTCTCTCGCTCTCTGCAAAAATAAACATTTACAAAAAAATTTTTTAAAAGAAAGAAAGAAACACACTCGGATCGCTGGGTTGAACCCCCAGAGTCTAGGGTAGGGCCTGAGAACCTGAGTTTCCAACAAGCGTCCAGAGGCCCCAGTTTGAGAACCGCTGTCATAGGACGAGCGGAAGAAGGACCTCAGGGCCTCGCCTAGACCCACGGCCCAGACCGGACACAGACCAGGGGTTCGTGTGTGCTGCCACCTTGTTCTGCTCACTCATCAGAGACAGCAGCGACAGCAGCGTTCCAGGTGACAGCTCTTCCTCCAAAGTTACAGGGAATGGACCCAGCAGGAGTCCTCGATTTTCAACAGCAACACTCCTCCTCAGGCTCACCCTCAAAAACTGCTCTAAGCTACTGTGTTCTTCTGAAATTCGGCTGTTCTCAGGAAACAGAAGCGACAGTGTCCAGGTCCTCATGGTGGCCATGGCCTCACGACAGGGAGCTCGGCGGCCGGGTGGCCAGGGGACACCAGGGACACCCGCGTGTGCAGCACACAGTCCTTCAAGAATGAGCCCTAACTCGAGCCCAAACACACAGAGGCTGTCACAGCCTCGGTTTTGCTACCCTTCGGACGCAGTTTTCTTTCAAGAACATTTCACGTACCATTACGCTATCTTATTTGAAACGTTTATTTATTTCGAGGGAGAGAAAGAGCGAGCACAGGAGAGAGGGGCAGAGAGAGAGACAGAGAGAGAGACTCCAAAGCAGGCTCTGAGCCGTCAGCACAGAGCCCGAGACAGGGCTTGAACTCACAAACCGTGAGATCACGACCTGAGCCGAAATCAAGAGTCAGACACTCAACCAACTGAGCCGCCCAGGCTTTTAAATACAGAAAACCCCCCACCCCTACCATCTGTACACATCCGTGTCCACTTTGCACGTGCTCTCCGCGTGCACAGGGATCAACAGACACACAGGCAGTTTCTTAAATACAAAGTGTGTTTCCATGGGTGTACGTGACGTTTCTTTCAAATTTTCTGTCAACGCAAAAACCTTAGCCATTCACATAACGTAATCACCATGAACATGGTTTTCCCCTCAATCTGTGTTCCTACATACATTTAAATGCACTTACGTTTGTTTTCGTCGTGAAACATTTCAAACAGACGTAAAAGTACAGAAAATATCATATTCCGTGTATCTACCATGGAGATTTCAGAACACTGTGAGATATTTTTTCTGAAAAAAAATTTAAATACAAAAAACACGTCACAGATGCACACCCACCCTGGCCCCCTTTCCTATTTGAAGGTGACCACTGTCCTAGAGTGGAGGGATATCCATTCCAGGTAGGTCTTTGTGCTTTCCACGTGTCCATAAGTGTCTGTAAAGTGCATGCAAGTATTATATTTTGTCGTATACAACAGACACAATTTTTTTTTCTGGTTTATACTGGAACAGAGCACGAGTACAGAAGAGTGTACCTATCAAATCTGTTCAAGTCAATGAACCGGCATAGCATCGGGGCAGCACCCACATAGAGATACGGGACACACGCCCGCTCCCTTTTGGCCACTCCCCCGCCAACGGTGCCAGCCACCTTCTGACCCACGCATTATTTCTGTCTGTGGTTACACCATATACACGGAATCAATCCGTAAGTTCCCCTGTTTCTGGCTCCTTCCACTCAGCACAACGTGCAAGGCCCATCCATGTCACCGCACGCAGCTGTCATTGCTACAGACCCTGCTGCGTGATCGGGCCACCATCGACCTACTGATCGTGCTGCTGGACACCTGGGTAGTTCCCAGGGTTCTCCTATTACACACGGTGCTGCTATGAACACTCAGCACACGTCCTTTGGTGGACACATACCCCTCATTTCTGTTGGGTATGTTCCTTAAAGTTCCTGGATCCTGGGATTTCTTACGTCCGGCTTAGCAAATATTTCCCGTTTTCCAAAATGACTGACCCACGTCACGCTGCCATCAGCAGGAGGCCCAGGTGCCTCACGCAGTGCCCCCCCACCCAGTGTTTTCCCTGTGTCCCCCTCACCACTTGATAGGGTCTGTGTCTAACACAGTGGCCGCTAAGTCAAAATTTCGTCCTGAATGTTTTCCATTTACTTTACAACCTTCTATATTCCTAAAAACGTACTGTTACCTATAACGATTGCATCACATCTCAGGTATGCAACTAAACGTCACGTAGCCCTTCTCCCATGAGATGTTTCCTGCTATTGTCAACAGCGTGAAGAACAGCCCTATTCACAAAACATTCCGCTGTGGGTTTTTTTACTCTATCCTTAGCATCAATTCCTAGAGAATTGCCACATTATTTCCTGCTAACGGACACTTCCCTGGATGGCTTTTGTACACAGACACATGTTGAGTAAGACTTTCTTCAGAAACCCTCTTTGGAGCGTTACTGCAGTGATCTTGGTAATCTAAAAGATGTACCAAAAAATAAATAAAGATGTACCATAGTGGCATTAAAAAAGAGAAAACTAAAATTTGACCTTCCCGCCTGCGATTAGAACGGCAATCACCGAGGGGAAGGGATCGTAATGCAGTTTCCTCAAATCCACCACTGCCCCCCAAAATGTTCTTTTCTCCTTTCTCAGCCAGGAGACGCATGTCCTGCTGCCCCCTCCACTCGCCTCTCTTCAGCCCCGGCAGGCACCCGCCGGTGAGAGCCTGGGTACTGCTCCAGGGCCCTCGTACTGGGGACGCCCTTTCCACAACTATCCGCAGACCAACTCCTTCACCTCCTTTGAACTGTGGCTCAAACACCACTTTCTCACGGCAGGTACTCGGTGCCAACTGCATCCCCTCCGCCCCCCACATGCTAACATGGGTCACTGGCTCATTATGTCCGAGGAGTGTCCACCACCCACTATAAGACCATCAACTCCGGGACAAGAGGCTTTCTTATTCTGTCCACGCTTAGGATCCCAACAGTCAAGAAGAGCCCCCAGCACATAGTAGGTGCTCAGTAAAACCATTTGCCGACTGCATGAAAGGCGCCAAAGTCACACAGACAGGAAAGCCACAGAGTCACCAAGGCCTGCTATGCTTTCCCAGGCAGGGTGAAAACCTCTTGCCCATTCCGCACCAACAGATCGCAGTAAGGTCTTGCCGGTGACAGGAACCGTGCCTCGGTGAACCACAGCCAGAGGCAAAAGCCGATAACACAGAGGAGGCTCTCAACGATGCCGCCGCCCCGGGCGAGCCCTGAGCAGGGGCAGCTCCCCACCTCCACCACAGCCCCTCGGCCAATCCACAGCTATATCTACTTTTCCCCAAAACAACGTAAGGCAAAACCCCCGACTAAAGCCATAACGCACCATCTGGCTCATCAACCAGCACAACAAAGAAAAGCTTTCCTCTTCCTGCAACAGTTTGAGTGTTTTTACCTTGAAACAAAGTAAAAATAAACCACCTCTCCAGGTCCCTCCAAGTCCTCTGGAACTTCTTCACTGAGAATTTCTGAGCTGAATCCTCTCCAAATCAGTTCAAACACTACTGCGACAGTGAAGTGTTTGCTAAGCCCTGTGCGAGCGCGAGTCTAGCGAGCCTCGCTACTCTCCAACTTCCGCCTCCTCGCTGACCTGCCTCAGTGTCTCGTCCGTGGGCTTCTCACACACCAGAACATTCACCCCAGCCCGGTTCAGGGAGCTCTGGCCCCCGACGCTGCCCGGCACGGGGATGGCACACAGCACATGCATAACTGGTTTCCAAGGGCCAAAGAATGCGCCAGATCCCCTCCCTCACACCACACGCGGTAACTAAAGTTCCATGTTAAAAGCGCTAAAACTCCAAAACACTTGGCAGAAAATATAAAAACATATCTTTGTGGCCCTGGGTTAGACAAAGTCATGAGTCATGACACCAAAAATACAGACAACAGAGAAACAGAATAGGTCAACGGGACTTCATCAAAATTAAAGACCATCGTGCTGCAAGACATCATCGAGACATGAAAAAGACAGCCCACAGAATGCAGAAAATAACGGATGAATCATGGATCTGATTAGGGGCTTGTGTCCAAAATATGCAAAGAAATTCTGAAAATACAAATTTAAAAAAAAAAAGACAAATTACCTAATTTTAAAAACAGGCAAAGTGGGGCACCTGCGTGGCTCAGTCGGTAAGCATCCGACTTCAGCTCAGGTCATGATCTCGCAGTTTGTGAGTTCGAGCCCCACATCAGGCTCCGCACTGACAGTGAGAGAAGCCTGCTTGGGATCCTCCCTTTCCCTCTCTCTCTGCCTCTCCCCTGCCCCCCCTCTCAAAAATAAACATTTTTTTAAGAAATTGGCAAAGAGGGGCACCTGGGTGGCTCAGCTGGTTAAGCATCCAACTTCAGCTCAGGTCATGATCTCGTGGTTGTGAGTTTGAGCCCTGCATCAGACTCTGTGCTGACAGCTCAGAGCCTGGAGCCTGCTTCGGATTCTGTGTCTCCCTCTCTGTCTACCCCTGCCCTGCTCATGCTCTCTCTCTCTCAAAAATAAACATTAAAAAAAAATTTTTTTTTAATAAAAGTGGGCAAAAGATGTGAATAAACATTTGTCACCAAAAGATATACGAAAAGCCAATGAGCACATGAAAAGATGCCCAGCCACAATGAGATTCCATTTCATACCCACACGGAAGGCTACAGTCGAAAAGACAAGCACAGGGCCTGGGCGGCTCAGTCGGTTAAGCGTCTGACTCTTGGTTTGGGCTCAGGTGGTGATCTCACGGTTCGTGAGTTCGAGCCCTGCGTCAGGCTCTACGCGGGCAGTGCAGAGACTGCTTGGGATTCTCTCTCTCCCTCTCTCTCTGCCCCATTGCCACTCATGCTCTCCCTCAAAATAGATAACACTTTTTTAAAAATTAAAAAAAAATACAGGCAATAACAAGTGTTGGTGAGGACACGGAGAAACGGGAAAACAGTCCAGCAACTCCTCAGAAGGTTAAATTCCACTGCCAGGTATACCACCCAAGAGAAATGACAAGCATGTCCACACAAAAACTTGTGCGTGAACTCACAGCGGCATTGCTCATAATGGCCAAAACGTGGAAACAGCCCAATGTCCGCCAAGTGATGAAGGGGTAAAGTAAAATACAGAATCTTAATACAACGGAATACTATTCGGCCGTTAAAAGCAACAGCGTACGTGCTACAGCACGGATAATCCTCGACGCGATGCAAAACGAAAGCAGCCAGACGCAGAAGGACACAGAACACGCGGTTCGATCTGTATGAAATTCCAGAAGAGGCAAATCTACAGAGAGTAATAGTTGCCCAGGCCAGAAGGAAAGGGGACTGAAGCGTGAACCTGACCACCAGTGGGTGTAGGCTTTCTTCCAGGGGAGAGGAGAACGCTCTAAAATGATGTCGATGGCTGCACGATTCTGTTAATTGTGTCCTTCAAATGGGAGAATTATGTGGTATGTGGATTAGAGCTCAATAAGGCTGTTAAAAATGTTTTACGAATTCCCTGTCTTCTCCCCAGTTCTTGTGCAAACGACTCTCCCGTGCCAGCAATGGGCCCGGAGCACAGCCGGCCTGCAATCTTGAGCGAAGACATCTACCGAGAAGGGGGAAGATCATCTATGTGAGAAACCCTCTGGCTGTTCCTGGCACAAGCAAAAAAGCCTAGCTGGTGTCGTTGCCACGGAAACTTCCAGCGGCCCCTGGGGTCCGGGTCATCCCTGTGGCTACGAAGCTGCACGTCAGAACTGGAAGCAGCCACTGGATGCTGAGAACAACCGAAGCTGCCCTTAGGAAGGGTGTCTCCCACCCCTCACTCTACCCACGAATTCAAAGGCAGGGATGGACCTGGCCATCTGGACAGCTGTGTGCGTTGCTGACCACCATTCCGGCAAGGGCCCTTCCCAACGAAACCTCTTTGCGTGGGAGACTCGCGGAACCTCTACATCATCTCTCTTTAGTCCTAGAAAACACTTCAAGTAGGCACCGTGGTCCCACACTTACCAGACGTGAAAGCAAGGCTCTAGCAGCACAGCCTGGCGAGGTCTGTGCTGTGACCCGCCAAGGTCACAGCGCTGGAGAGCAGCTAAGCAGTGGGGCCTGAACCTGTACAGGTTACGTGACGACACCCAATCCTGTATTCCCTCCCTGACTCATGAGGAGAGGAGCCAGGACAGGCACACCCCATGCCTGGGGCCAGAGGTCAGATGGTGTCCACGCAAATCCCTGACTCCTCTGTGACCGAGAACAGACAGCTCACCTCGCTGCGCTCAGTTTTCTCATCTCTAAGATGGGAACGGTACCATCTTCAACACTGTTCAGCTGCAAGAAGTTTGTGTTAAAGAAAATATGTCAAAGCATCCAGTACAGTGCCTGGTGCCCAAGCTTTTCTTCTCCAAAGGACCGGCAGGCCAGAGGCCAGACACGAACTTCCAGATCACAGATCGAATGAACCGGAGGCCCGGCGTTCTCACTGCCTCAAGCACGGGTCGCACGCCACAACGATGGCGTCTTGCTCTGGTCAAGACCCGAACAGATCGCGGGTTGTCCCTGGGAGCTCAAAGACACGTGTGAACCACTTGCACACGAACGAGACGTTTGCAACCTATGAGTGGCTACTCCTTTCCGAGGGCAATGCAAGAGACCAAACCACAGAGGGGGGAAAAATCATGGGTCTGTCTCCTGAAGACATCACAAAACTGAAGCTGAGGGCCAAAAACAGTCACCTATCAGATGATTTCCTGTCTCAAACTGGAGCGAGAGGAACCAGCACGGAGGCCACCAGATCTCTGCTTCTCCACGAATCTTTCCAAACATGCTCCTGAAAGGACCCCGGTCAAGTTGGGTGTAGTCCTCAAAAAACCTCTTCGATCTCTCACTTTCAGAATGTTTATCTGTGGGAAGGCCTGGTGATTTTTTTCCAGAGTTCAAAAGCAGTACTCTTTTAGCTAATAGTAATTTGGGGAATCTTGGAATAACTTACAAAAAAGGAGTCCAATTCCAAAAAGAATCATGATCTCTCTCTGTAACCAAATTCAATGTGTTGGGAGATTGTTCTTTGTTTAAACCCTCACCCTGGGTCTGACTGGTTCAGTCTGAAAGTGACTCAGGTTATCTAGGATCTGTTGCCGTGAAAGTGAAAATATTCCAAAATATCTAGCAGGACCAAGTGTGCTCTATCTCAGTCAAGGCTACATAGAGAGCCTGCATTCACAGCCAAATTAGGCCCCACTAATAAAATTCCAAGCAGTCACTGGCATTGGAAACCAAGTGAGATACAATTAAGTCCATTTGAACAAACCCCCATTGGTCTACGGAAGGAATCACAAAAAATAAGACAAGCTATCCAGCGGCCTGCAGGGTAGAGGACCCGGAATGCCATTAATGAGCCAGGGACAGGAACGCCCCGGAAATTGGCATGGACAAATTAGGGACCGTGAAAAATGTCACAGTAAGAGAAACACGTAGTCAGTCCTGCCTCCACAGCCAAGTTGCGCTGAATCTGGAGGTCTCATCTCCCACGCAGAGAAGGCTGGACCGTCCTCTGGTGTCTGCAACCCAAAGACTGCGAATGGGTCAGCCAGGATAATCCCAACACCTTCATTAGACGAGGGAACTCGGCCTGTGCTTGGCAAAATGTGTTTCCGGGTGCTGTCACATTCTCTCTCCAGGAAACCTATGCTCCAGTCGACCCGCGGCTCCCCAGACTGAACCGGATGGCTCTGGCAGACGCGGGGCAGAGATGAGACCCGCGCGCAAACCACGCAAGTGACCGTTCTGCCTCCAACGACTGTAGCGCGCACACACTTTCCGGACTGCCAGGCTCTCTGTTCGGCCCATCGCGCCATGTCAAGTGCACCCCCTTTCTGAAAAGAGAGAGGCTAACATCTCACAGTGGTCTGCGGTGGCCATTTTCAGGACAGCCACACGGAAACATCTCGCCGTATGTGAAACCTTCAGAAGAGGGAAAGTTCGAGGTCTGGGAACGGCTGGCAAAGCAAACTTAAGGAAAGTGCATGGAAGGCGGCCTGCGTAGACGGTAGCCAAGAGATTACGTCTGCCGCTTCCGAACGGGAGCCCCACGCTTGCCGGGGTGTGAATCCCACCCTCCGGTCATGGGTGAGCGATGGGACTGCTGCCGCCTCAGTTTCCCCATCTGTAAAGTGGGGTTCATAGATGACTGACTTTGCAGGATGTCCGTGAGGAGGAAGGCACCTCCTACAGGAAGCGCTCTGCCAGGCTTTGTCATCAATACAACGCGTCCTCTGGTCGCCAAGAATGCTCTTTGTGGAGGTCTGCCAGGAGGAGGCAAAAGATGGGACACTTTCCACTCATAACACAGTCCATCTCAGGAAACACGCCCACTGCCACACAAGCCAGCTCACCTCTCAACTTCTGCAGGCGGGGCGCCTGGGTGGCTCAGCCAGTTGAGCGTCCGACTTCAGCTCAGGTCATGATCTCACGGTTCGTGAGTTTGAGCCCCACGTCGGGCTCTGTGCTGACGGCTCGGGAGCCTGGAGCCCGCTTCAGACACTGTGTCTCCCCTCTCTCTGCCCCTCCCCCACTTGTGCACAAGCTCGCTCTCTCACACATACACACACTCTCTCTCAAAAATAAACATTAAAATAAAAAAAGAAAACAACTAACCTTCTACAGGTACTCCGAGGAGACTCCCGACTTCACTGTCCACCCTAAGAAGTAAGAACGGTGGTACACGAGACACCCTGAGATAAAGAAGTGCACACACACACTTTCCCCACACTCTGAAGAGCTGAAAATGCAAAAACCCAGCGGTGAGTGGCATTTCGCAGGAGCTGGGAGGTGCAATTACGGTCCCAAAGACAATTAACAGTGCGAAGTCACGACTATCACCTGACCCTCCTTTACGGAAGATGGCCTTTGCCATCTCCATCATGGAGATACTGTCAACGGCAGGTGAGGTCCCCAGACATCCCTCCTGCCACGACACCTGCCAGTGGCCGTCAGGTCTGGGTCCTGCTGGTCCCCAGGGCCACCGAAACAGCTGGGCTCACCAGCGCCAACTGTATTCAGACACGGACACCAGAAACAGCGGCAGCCAGGAGACCGTCCTGCTGATTCACTGCAAGGTTGGCCATTAGGAGTGGACAAGGATACGATGAAACACGTATTTCACCATAAATATACTTCCAATGTTAACTAGAGAGTAGAAAACAAGGGAGGTCAGAATGCCTACAAAACTGTTTTAAAACAAGACCCCTTGCGCCCACCTCTGCCTGGCAAACTGCAGATCGTTAGCAGGTGCACTTGACATCTTGGGATCTTGGGTTTTCCCTCCACATTTTCTACAGTGAAGCAGATAACATGCACAGAGAAAGGGCTGTAATGTCTATGGACAGTTTAACAAAATTATATCTCAAACACACATCCAGGTCGAAAATTAAAAAGCCCACCTTGTCCAGTAAACACTTTAGGTCAAACCCCTTTTCTCCTAACAGAGGCGACCACCACCTACTTTTCATGATATCTTCCTTGCCTTTCATTGATAGTTTTATAACCTGCGGCAGCATCCCCACACAAGAATCTGATTCTGCATGTTTTGTAACTTGACTGAAACTGGAGTCACCGGTGTACGTTTTCTCGGGCCTCTCTGGACATCCTCAGGGGAGGGTGGAGGGACTCAGGTCTCACATCTGCAAAGATCCCTGAACAGGTCACCCAAGGGCATCCCCCCCGTTCTCAAAGCCCAATAACCGAGGTTACTGAAACCCTAATCCGACAGGAAAGTCTGATAACAGAGATCACCTCTGAGGTGGGAACGGGCAGAGCGGGAGAGACCAAGTGCAAGCAGGAGGGCAAGGTTAACATCGGTTCGATTTAAAGAATCATTTTCTGAAAAACACGTGGCAAGAGGATCTTTAACACAAATCGTATGACGTTAGCACTGCAGAAGCATGAATCGAGAGCTTGGCGCAGTACCGTGCCGGCATTAAGTAGAGAATTACGAAGACTATTTTCAACAGTGTAGAAAAATGTTGAGTGGAAAGGCTAGGCCGTAAAGCGTAAATGCACTAGGAAGACGTAAAAAGCATATGCGCGGGAAAAAGGAAGTCACAGCTGACCCTCAAGCAACATGGGGGTTAGGGGCGCCAACCCTACCCCCTGCAAAGTGGAAAATCAATGTAGAACTTTTGACTCCCCAAGAACTTAACCGCTAACTGCCAGATGTTGACTGGAAGCCCTACCAGTAAGTAATAAAAGATCAATTAATACATATTTTGTGTGTGTGTTCTATACCATAACCTTCCAATAAAATCAGCTAGAGGAAAAAAAAATGTTAGGAAAATCATAACACAAAATACACTTACCGTACCGCACCATACTGATCAAAAAAAAACCCTGCGTACAAGTGGATCCGCGTAGTTCACACTTGTGTCGTTCAAAAGTCAAGCGTATGCTAAAATGCAGTGGTTGCATTGAAATGGTGGAACTGTGGCTGATTTCTCCGTTTATAAAACGTTTGTACTCGCAGTTACATTCCTGTACAACAACATCCTCCTCAAAGCGCAAATTCTCACACAACAATGCAATTTCACTGGGTTGGTTACAACTCATTCATAAGACTTCTGGCAAACAAACTTTACCAGCACAGATCGTTTCGGAAAGATCCTCGGGAGGTCATGAAAACATACTTCGCAGAGACAGTACCTAGCCACAAGTCTGGCCAGTCCACACCAAGCTTCCCTGGAATTAATCAAACGTCACGTAATTTCACTTCAACTCTGCTGAACACACAAACTCCAAACTGGTCAGGAGTACGACAAAACCCCACCCAACACCTGCTCCACTCCGACCACCCAGCCAGTGGGAACCATGAAGCGTGGCCCGAGTCCCCTATCACTCCAATGGCTCACAGCACGCGTGTACCTTGGGCCATCCCGAGCCCCCCGCGCTCCAGGGCACTTTCATCCTGATTATTTTCACAAAGAACATCTATCCCCTTAAGTCTCGTTATGGTTTTTGAGTGATTCTATCATGAAAATACTGCAGTCCTTCAGAGGGTAACGTGATCTGGAGCCCCGCTCACCAAGTACCCGGGGGGGTGCGGGCCTGTTCCCAGACAGGCCTCGCGGAGCCCCTGTCCCGACACTCACCACTCCAGGCTCCCCGCAGCAAGCAGCGTGGGCAAAACATCTCTGTTTGTGATGTCTTTTTCTTAGGAAGGAAAAAATAATACCAAAACAGAATTCCCCCACCCGGAACACATCACTTTCTTGCTAACCACAAATTCTGGCAAAATCCGTTCTACATAACAGTGATTCAGTTAGTTCCTCTTTCTTCAAATTGACACATTTTACCTTGCAAATTGGGTATGTCTGTATGACAGAGAGTTGAAAGACCAAGGAAGCAAACTTAAATCATATTTCCACAGCTACCACTGTTACCAAGTTAAAATGTGACACTATCCTGAAAAAACGTATGATGAAAACGTAATTCTATTTAAACCTCTAAGCCTTTTCTGCATAGCAGATCTTATTCTAGATACTGGTATGTAAAGAAAAATAATAGTTTCTGCCTGTCGGGAGTTTACAATCAAAATGCGTGTAATGAAGGGGAGCAGGGTGGACAGGAAGGGTTGTTGTTTTGTTTTTTTTTTTTTCTGAATGTAGTCAGCACTTTGAGATAGAATTTAACCCACATGCATACATCTTAAGTGACAGCTCACTGAATTCTGACCAATATACACCCAGAAAGCAGCAGGCGAGGGGTGGTGGCTGGGGCAGAGAGAGCAAGGAAAGGGCCCAGGCACGCAGAGAAGGTGGGGGCCGGTGCACAGGAGCGCCAATGATGAGCAGAGCTCAGGCATGACCCCAGAGAAAACCAGGAGACAAGTGGCCGGGAGCTTCCTAACCAAATGGAATGTCTGGAATGCCATCCACTGAGCCGCTCTAACAGAACTGAAGCCGATTCTCCCCTGGGCTAAAGACCAAGTTTAGGTCCATCGGACTGCAGGAAAGTGGGCCTATGATACACAGCGGTCATGCGTGTATATTTTTATCAGGGTATGATGCAACCTCAAAAAATCAAATTGCACAATCAAGCATCTATCACATTCATCCGTTGCCATTCTTATTCTACGTCACAGTTGCTGAGCTTTATAGCCTCAAAAGAGGCCCTGAAATAAACTCTCATCCCGCACAGAGAGTAGAATGTTCCAATCAGACATTTTGCTAGTTACAATTTTACTGTACAAGCCACAAACGGCCTATGTTTAAAATGAAAAAAGAAATTCTACAATTCAACATGAAAAAAGATACACTCCTAACAAAATGGGCAAAAGATATGAACAGTGAGTTCAGAGGCCACACAAGATGAAAACATGACAAGAAACTAAACTCCACTAACACTGGAGAAAATGGAAGTCCAAACAAATATGAGACACATTCTTAATTTTTGTGAATCTGAAGAGCTTAAAAAATGGTATTTAGGGGCGCCTGGGTGGCGCAGTCGGTTAAGCATCCGACTTCAGCCAGGTCACGATCTCGCGGTCCGTGGGTTCGAGCCCCGCGTCGGGCTCTGGGCTGATGGCTCAGAGCCTGGAGCCTGTTTCCGATTCTGTGTCTCCCTCTCTCTCTGCCCCTCCCCCGTTCATGCTGTGTCTCTCTCTGTCCCAAAAATAAATAAATGTTGAAGAAAAAAAAAAAAAAATTTAAAAAAAAAAAATGGTATTTAGTATTGATGAGGTTATGAGGAAAGGGTGTGGTTTTTATTTTTTTTAATGTTTATTTTTGAGAGAGAGAGAGGGAAAGAGACAGGCACACAGAGTGGGGGAGGGGCAGAGAGAGAGGGAGACACAGAATCCCAAGCAGGCTCCAGGCCCCAAGCTGTCAGCACAGAGCCCGACACAGGGCTCGATCCCACAAACCCTGAGATCGTGACCTGAGCCAAAGTTGGACGCTTAACTGAGCCACCCAGGCGCCCCTGAGGAAACGATGTTCTTAATAAAGCACGTTGCTGACTAAACTGGTGATAGGCACCACAGAGGACAATGCGTCACTACCTGTTAAAACAAAAGAGGTGCAAACCCTGTGACCTGGCAATTCCACTCCTACGCATCTACTCATGGAAGGCAGGATAACGCCCCTCCCACCCGAAGGTGTCCACGACCTAACCCCTGGAAGCTGAAGCTGTTGTTTCCACAGAGAAGGGAAACTAAGGTAGCAGATGGAATTCAGGTTGCCAAGCCGCTGACCTTAAGATAGGGCACGGGCTGTGGACTACCCAGGTGGGCCCAATGTAGTCCAGGGGTCCTTCAAAGGGAAAGAAGGAAACAAAAAAAGGAGAACCAGAGAAATGACAGCATGTGAAAGACGTGCTCATGGCTGCTGGAGAAAGGGGACCATCGGCCAAGGAATGTGGGAGGCGTCTGCAAGCTAGAAAGGCCAGTAAATGGATTTTCCCCAGGGCCTCCAGAAGGAACGCAGCCCTGCCCACACCTGGTTTTAGCCCAGGGAAACCGATTTTGGACTGCTGACCTCCAGATCTGGGAGATGATACATCTGTGCTGTTGAAGCCACCATGTTTGCGGTAAATTGTTAGAGCAGCGGCAGAAAACTAATACACTGTCCTGGGGAAACACGGGCACAGAGGCACAAGGCGGGATGTTTTCTGGGAACGCAAATGTATAAAATATAAAAACGGAATGGAGACAATCCATCCCGAACTGATAACAACTGTCACCTCTGGTAAAGAGAGGGTGATGGCAATCGAAGTGAGATTTCCACCTAGTTAATAATGTTCTACATTTTTTTTTTTAAAGAAAATGTGTTTATCCATATACTGCTTAATTGCAAGTTAAATGTTTAGAGAGTTACTGTTCACAATATAAGACTCTTAATGCTGAAAAAGTGAACACAATTTCTGCTCACAATCTCAAAAGCACCACCAAGTCCTAG